AATTTGAGGGGTTTTCTAAAAGGCTAAAAAAATACTTAAATACCTTATATTTTCATCTTCCTTAATCTTATACACCCCAAATTGTAAAAGTTTGCACTTACATACCCAAATTGTTTAAACATGGTAAATTAGTATATTATGTTACTTGAATGTCTGAGTATTCGCATGTTCTACTCACATGTCAATTATAGCTTTGTTTTACCCTAATTAATTTTTTTATTTACATTTTTACCTACCTTTTACAATGGGAGGAGGCTAATTTCAGCCAAGGGTAATTTAGTCTTAATCCTAAAAAATTAACTCAATTTAGAAATTTTAATGGAAAATTAGTATCCTTAATATATATATTTCTCCTTCATTACCTTGTTCTTGATCTAAATTGAAGTTGAGCTATGATTTAATTGTTTGCGAGAAACAACATTGGTAAAAAAGAAACTTATAACACAGGTTAAGAAATCGTAGTTAGCTAATAATTTGTTTTTATAAATCCAAAGAGATGTATGGCCTAATTCTTCGCCTCCCATGGCCATACCATTCATTAGCCTTTTGAAATGATACTTTAAGGTTTCGAATTTTATTATTAATTCATTATTGGCATAATTTTACTAAACTAACAGCCAATTTAGTAATTAAAGTATTTTTGACTTGCTATTGTGCCCAAAAACTTATGATATGAGTAGATATATTTGAAAAAATAGTCTTATATCTCTCCTCTCATTACCTAGTTATTGATCTAGATCGACATCCGCTATAGTTTAATGGATTGCAGTAAACAACATTGACATAGAGGAGAATTTTTTTATAATAAACCTAATAACTCAAGTTCAAAAATTTCTTACTTAGCAAATAACTTATTCTAATTTGTTTTTGAAATGCTAGTTTATTGACTCAAGATTTATAATTAATTAGTTTTTAGCATAATTTCACCGAACCAATAGCTACTTTTAGGTTCATAAATTTCAATAAAAATGTTATGATATAAGAACTAAGAAGCTAAAATAGATCGACAATGCAAGAGATCAAATCATTCTTCGTCAATCAAATTAATATTCAGTTTCAAAGATTAAACAACAAATCAAATTCTTCTAATCAATTTAAAAAAAGATAAAAAAGATGAATAGATTTGCGACCTTGTAAAATTGTCAATATACTCTTTATTTTTTATTTTCCTCTTTATCATTCAATTTTATTCCACCAACTTTTTTAGTGAATCTGATATGAATATGCCGTTATAATATATTAAATTAACTTAGTTATTACTTAAATTATTAAATTAATTTACTAATATAGAATAATTTTAGTCTCAAACTGTTAAGCTACATAATTAAGATAGGAATTTCCTTTTGCTCCTTTAATTCAAGTGCACGTAATTATGTAAAGAATCACTAAAAACCTCATAGTTAACAAAATGCTGCATGATTATGGTTTGAGAACAAAATAGAATGCGAAAATTTATAGAAACTTTAATTATTATTTATTAAATAAATCACTTATTTTTACATCATCTCCAAAAAAAGGCAAAAAATAATTGAACACCTTAGATCTTAGTCTGTAGCAATGTTGATCAAGAAAAGAACATGAAAATTATAAAGATCGTAGAGAAAGTGAGCTCGAAAATATCAAAGTCGCAAGCAGCAAAGAGAGCTAGATTTGGCTCTTTTCTTCTCAATCTAGATTTTAATTGCGAATTGGAAAGTTGATTGGAGAGATTTGATAAAATTTTCTTGTTAAGTGATTTGGTAGGAGAGGAATAGTTGTAACGTTTTTTATCATTAGTGCACATAAAGTTATGTTAGTGTACCATGATCTAGTGGAGGAGTGTTATGAGTGAGTGATTAATTGAAAAATTGATGGCAATCAATTGGGAGATTATGAAAAATTGAGCATGTATGCCTTCATGTATGTATGCATGGATGTGCAAGCATTGGGGAGGTTATAAAAAATTGAGCATGTATGTATGAATGGATGTACTGGAGAGCATTTTGGGTAGAAATGTTTTAACATGACAACCCACTTTTATAATAGTATTAGATTCTTTGATTTATGAGGAATGGTTAACTGTCTGGAGTATGACACCAGAAAATGTCACACTCTAACTGTAAAACCCCGAAAAAATTTCTATAATGTATATATGTATATATATGTGTGAATTAGTAATAGTAGATAATTCCCTTGTGATAAATAACTATATAAGCATAAGATATATATGTGTATCAGAGTTTGGGAGCCCAGCAGGTGTCTGCAAGTGAGAGAAATTGAGTGAGTTGGCGATCAGCAGGTAAAATGCCATCAGCAGGCATTTTTGTGCTGATCGGTCGACCGGCGCGGTCGACCGGCGCGGTCGACCGATCAGCGATCAGAGAGATTACCAGGTTTTGGTTTCGGGTTTTTAGTTGTTGGGTTTTGGGTTTCGGGTCGGGTTGGGGAGTTGGTATTTATACCAACTCAACCCAGGAGAGATCTCCTCAGCCCCAAACGTAAACCCTAGCCCCCTCTCTTCTTCCTCAAAACCCTAACTGGATTTTGGCAATCTGGGAGCAGTCCTTGGGGATTTTCGGCAGATCGTGGGTTTTCAGCGAAGGGGATCAACATCTTACAGATCTAGGGCATTATCAGCAACCAAGGCGAGTAATTTCTCGCCCAACCCCCACCCCCTTTGGTTTAAACATCAAGAACTGAGTTTTTATTGGATTTATGGAGCCAAATTCGTATCTTTGTTTAGCTAATAGTTTACTATAGCCTAGAATATGGGTTTGGGGCTTAATATGTTGTCAAAACTCACCCATGCCCTGTTAAAGAAGATCTAGATCTGAGTTTTTGCCTAAAAGAGTTTCAAACATCTTTACAGCTTTTAAAACGATTTGGATTTGTTTCTCATGGATTTAAGATCTTGAAAATATAGATTTCAAACTTTGGTTTTGGTTGTGTATTTTCAGTATGATCCCATTTTTATCAAATACCCATGTTATCGAAATCTTTGGTTCCAGGTTTTAGCAGCTGACAGAACCCAGGTAGGGTTCTGTTCGCTCGGCGGTCGACCGACGCGGTCGACCGCTGAGCTCGAGTCAGGGCTTCGGTCGACCGCGTCATTTATTCGGTCGACCGCTATTTGATTTCGGTCGACCGCGTCATTTTTCGGTCGACCGCGATGTCTGGTCGGTCGACCGATATTCCTGGCGGTCGACCGTCCTGATTTGTATCAGAGTTCGGTCGACCGTATCGGTCGACCGCCGACCCTCTGTTGCAGATTTCCAGATTTGGTGTTTTTGGGTATTTTTACTCCTATTCGGGGTTTTGTCTGGTTTATCTGACCTAGTTATTAGCCCCACTATGTGTCCATGCATGATAGATGACCTGAGGGTATGAATTTGGGACACATATACCGATTTGGTTATGAAAACTGATAAGTAGATTTCACTACATACTTGTGGCGGCCTTATGCAAATCCCTACAGTCCTCGTGTTGGACTATAATCCATAAGAAGTCCTCGTGTTGGACTATAATCCCTCTCAGTCCTCGTGTTGGACAACTGCCATTTATTCCATGAGTTTGGAAAACTACGATAGTTGGACCTTGCATCGGACATGGTTCTTCTTCCTGCGTGTGATTATTGTACCACATTTCACAACATACTGATTATGCAAATTTTGTACCACACTTATGAAGGTATTGACACAATATTTATGTAATAAATATTGTGATATTTACGTTGACTATATCACCACACTGTAATTATGCTCTGGTGTTTGCTGTATTTCTTTTATTATTATTTCTGTACTAGAACCTCGGGTTTGGTGTTTAGAGATTTACAATTTGAGATACAAGGTATATACATGAGGGTTTCCTTGTTTGGATTATTTCGCTCGACGTACCTATGCTCGTGTTGTAAATTTCTAAATACTAAAACCCTCTTTAGTAGGATCAATGATTTTAGATCTATTATATATTATCTGTATTTTTATATACAACGAGCCCTGTCCCCTTGGGGTTGGTTGTGATGTTACTCGCTAGCGCTTTGACGCTCGTTGCCCCTCCCCCTTTCAGGTCACGAGCCAGGAGCACGGAGAGCCGCAGGTTGATAGCGGACCACATTAGTGTTCAGCTTTACTTTCTAGCTATGTATTATTTTCTTTGGTCTCCACTGTAGTGAGGTTAGACATTTGAGGGTATTATTCTAGAAGTTGTAAAGGCTGTGAGCCTTATTTCCTTATTGTCAGATGTTTGTATTTGAGACTTATCAAGTATTTCAGTTTATCTACTCAGATCTCGACTATGTACTTCTATGTTGTTGGATGATGAGATATTTATGTGACTATTATCATTTCATCAGTATTCCTCGTAATGTCTTTTACCTGTTTTGTACCTACACCAGTTGTTGACTCTACTAGATAGATGTTAATTGTGATGGTGAAACATGTTATTGCACGGTGTGGTGCATAGCAGGTTTGACATCCTAGGTTTCACCTCGGACTGCAGCCTTGTGTGAACCCAGGGGCGTCACACTAACATATATTTTTCAGATTCTAAAAGGAATATAAATTAAAATTATAAGTTCTTCTTAGCAAAAACAATAATATATATAGCTAAAAAAGCCAAAGAATATAATGCGTACAATATTTTTAAAATTACAAGTTTTGTGGGTTAGGCACATGCATTTTATTATGTAACAAAAGAGAAAAAACATGTACAAATGATATTAATAGATTCTAAAAACCTCATATTTCCTTATAGAAAAAAAAAGTTTCCTAAGATTTAAGATATGACATTATAATTATTATGAAATCCTCGATACATTTTTGAGATTTAGGGATCAATTGAAAAAGTTTTGCATCTACTGCACGTGCATATGGACGTGCCATTAAAAAAAAAGATGTTAAGGATGCAACAACATTGCGATGCTAAAACTAGTGAACACGTTTGCGGATCGGGTTGGACATACCGGAACCGTTTTGCACCCGTAAAAGCCAGGCCGCGCACTCGAAGAAAAAGGGATTCCATTCCCAAACAGTCTCCTTCCTCAAGTGGCCAAAACCCTCATTTAAAATCCTAACCCCCTCAAAATGCCAAGCCCCCAATCAGCGACAAACCCTAACCCTAGAATCTTAGACCCTATCCTCTCCTCTCAATGGACGCCGACATCGATCGCATACTGTGGACCGCCTCGGAGATCTCCGATCGCGTTTCCTCGCTCGCATCGGAGATTAACCGCGATTTCAAGGAGAAGGGCTGTGATTTGGTCGTGGTTGGAGTTGCTACTGGAGCTTTCATGTTTCTGGCCGATCTCGTGAGGGCGATTGAGATTCCGGTGGCTGTGGATTTCGTTAGGGTTGAGTCGTATGGTTCGGGGACGGAGTCGAATGGGATGCCGAGGATATCCAGCGATTTGAAGGTGGATGTTAGCGGAAAGCACGTGATTGTGGTGAGTTTTGCTTGATTTTGAGCTTTTCTTTTGGGAATCTCGGGGTTGGAAGATATTTGGGTGCGATTCGATTGAATATATTGATTAAAGCTAGATTACAGAAACTCTATTGAAATAGTTCATATGATTCTATGTAAGAAAGATAGGAGAACCGAGGGGACCCAAATCTCTAATAAACCCAAAATTGAGTCCCTATTTTGCCCATATGAGCAACTATACTCTGATATATGACACCGCACTTCTGCAGCCCTGGAGCCTACTCGGGTTGGCTATGCGCTAATCTTGTCATGGTCAAACTGCAATTCTGGCCGCCACCATTCGGCTTTGCACTAGAAAAGTCCCAAAAAAACACTACTAATTCCGGTGTCACCAATCTTCACCACACGCTGTTCTGATAAAATTTGTGAGAGACCTAGTTGCTCTCACACCTAAAAACTAGATGTTAGAGAGAGTGAACCCAGGTCACTTGCTAACCACACAATTGACTCCAAGTTTGGTCAATGTGGGACTAAATCGACTGGAATATTGTATGCAATAGTTCTGCAAAAAACAGGCTGAAAAATAATCAATGACAGTCGTGAAAGATCATTAGTCTACAGGTGTACTACTAGGCCCAATCTTTTAAGAAAATTGTAATTACTTACGTGTTATTGTAGAAAATCATCACATTTTAACTTACTAGCTGAATAGCGCCGCCTGTTAGTTTTATGAGCATGAACTGACTTTTGAACCATTGTGCACTATTTCCTGAAGAAATGCCTTGCTGGCAGAGATTTGGGCTAGAGTTGAATTTTGTTAAGCATAAGTTGCATAATGTTTGGAAAAAGGGGTTTTTGCCTTTAAACCCAAAGTTTGAATCCCATTTATTTTTAAACCTGTGTACTTCTATTTATACCTATAAACCCAATGTGTCTTCTCTTTTTATCTTTAAACTCAAAATATAAATTACATCCTATTTGTACACTATATTTACAAAGAGAAAATTAAAAACCCCCAGAGTGCCCTTCCCCTTCTAATCTCTTCTTCAGAAACTCCATTTCCTCCCATTCTCTCTTCCATTTCTCTGTAAAAAATGCAATCCTACTTCCTGTACAACTAATCAGAACTTCAAGGTTCAAATTTGAAGCTTGAAGCGGACGTTCACAGTTGAAAGTCAGTTCTTGGTTGCCTGAAGCTAACCTCCGGCGCTGACAATGGCTCCTATGCAAACCCAACCCACAGCCATTTGACTAAATCTCAACAAAGAAGGCCCCTCACTATACCCAAACAATGGCATTGAAGTCTTTTGTCTTCTTTTATAAA